CGCTTCTGAACTATCAAAAACAAAATAACCACATCCTAGTTCCAGATCATATTGATGATTTGTTTGAAAATTGGTATAATGGATGGTTTAGAATATTTTTCTCTCAGGTATACTACGGTAATGCGTTAGTATGGTGATGAGACTTGTCAAGTTATATCAGATCCAGGATTCACGACTCAGAATAGAGAACCAGATTAACAGTAGATAATACCTTATTCCACACAATTATAAGCAGTTACACTAAGTGAGTTCGGAGTAGAAATCAATAAGTGGGAGGAATAAGGAATTGAAGAGGAAGGTTGATTATGAATACAGTGGTCTTGGGTGCTGTTAGAGGTATGAGGGCGGTTATCACTTCCCGGTTGCCCACACCGTGGAAGGGTTCTTCTGGAGGTACCTGAAAAGGAAATTGGATTAGAGGTGGTCTCAGTGACCTGAGAGCGTGACCGCAGTGCCCAAGGGACAACTGCTTGAGGCCGGTCGCGCACGGCCTTTTTGTGGGAGGTTTTCGACGTGTTAGCTCCGTTCTTCAAAGGGCCTTACCGCCGGAGACGGAAATCCGTGAGGTAAGGTGAGGTGTGCATTTTTAGGGTCGACCTTTTCTAACCCCACCCCTCCTTGTGGGAAGGCAGCATCGCTGTCATGCTGGTTGTCTGAAGGAAACACCTTACTGCTGTCACACCTCTGTACAGTCAGCAGTACGACTTTGCCTTCGGACCTTGGGTTTGTTGCTTTTAGTCTTACCGCTCTTCAACCGACCTGTCTGACATGGTAGGACCTTGAGGAACGGTTGTTCCAGCCAGTATAGCTCGGTTGCTTCATCACGATAGGCAAGCCCGACCACCACGTCAAGGTAGCAACAACGGTCGGGACATATTTAATAGTCAGTAGGCGAAATGCTTGGTTGTCCACGCTCACTGCCCAATCATATTTTAATTTCATTTACACATGTCAAAAACCAAAACTACTAAGTACAGTGGTTTTTACCCTACAACTAGAAACTACTTAACCAAGTTAGTAGTATATTACTATTTCATTAGTAAAACATGTCAAATTTTTACTTATTTATTCTTTCAGATATGGAGACTATCTGAACGAGAATTATTGACTAGTTTCTGTGGTGACCTGCACCCAAGTCGTGGTGCAGCAGCGGTCGCCGCCGCCGCTCTATTCAGAGGCAATCAATCAGCAGCTATAATTGCTGCTACTAATCCAGGCATTTCAGATATTCGTCTATTGCCGACGGTTACAGGATCAGCATTGATTCATGTCAATAACAGTAATAATAGTAATGACAGTAATCCTACTAAAAATAATGACTGTTCGACAAATCTAAATAACCAAATACCTATTACACACTCTTCTCATGATCAGAAATGCTCAATGACTGCCGCATCAACAGCTTGTCGATTTTTAAGTTGTGGTGCTGATGGTGGGCTACGTATGCGTTCATTGGTTGTTCGACCAAAACCTTCTATAGTTTGTTAATGGAAGAATCAGATAGAAGAATGAAAAACACAAAGCATAATATTATATACTTCATATTATTTATCTTACCTTATTACTTATTGAAAGCATTCCATACTCATTACACTTATACTACTTATTGTTATGCTTACTTATGATCATACGATTTTGGTACACTTTTCATCTATTTATATGCGAGTGTGCATTGTTATCCTTTAAATTTAGCCAAATAAACTGAATTATCTATGCACCAAATATCATTATCTTATTTTAAAAAAACGCAATTTTATGATGACTAATGATAATAATTAGAAAATGAATTTTGTATAGTAAGTAAGCTAGAAGACAACCAGGGGCTGCCTGATCAAAACATGGTGACGATTTACTGACTGTCGAGCCGAGTTGGTGAGTACTGACTACCAGGTTAGGATCTGCGTGATTATCATAGCCAATAAGTGGCATAGGTCAGAATCGCTCGCCAAAGCGCAGACTTATAAACTCTCTACTCTTCCCTAGATTTTGAGCTCTAAAATACTACTTTCTATTCTACAATTTCGTTCTTGTTCCTTAGATAACATTTTTTATAGCTAGTCTTTCATATTACCACTGATACTGCTTTCATTTCAAATACTCTGGTATTTATCTTGATAATTCCATTTAACTGTGCTGATCTAGTGTAGCAATTCGAACCCATCGTATATGTGCCAGGTTCTGCGTTTCATATAACTAATTGCTGATTTTTGAGTAGAAGTATGTATCTGTCATATCTACTTCCATTAATCTGTGCAACCTTGAAAAAAAAAACAAATTTTCCTTTCAATGTTCAAACTAGGGCGTCTTTCAGCATCAAAATGGGAGAGGTTATTATTAGGAAGAGACCTAGCGGTACACTAGTAACTTTGACAATACTGAAATAAATATAATGATTAACCGGTTGGCAATTATGCTGTATCAACCTCAATTAATAGAGCTTGATGTCAGCCATCTGATATTTTACATAATATTGTGATCCCATGTATTTGTGTTTGGAAAAAGTCATATTTCAACAGCTGCAAATAGTAAAAGATTCCTCACTAATGTATATTAACCTCATGTTTGTACTAAAAATTAGTATATCAAAAGCGGATATTAATAAGATGAAAAGCAAAGAATTTGGTATCATAACATGAGTGACCGTAGTGAAAGACCAAACATAAAAAATATACTTTAATAGTAACGGGCAAGGTCGTGGGACAGAACACAAAAAATGGGAGATAAAGGATGAAGGCAACTGCATCAAAGCAATCCGACTTCCAGTTGTGCTGCTGAAATCTACCATAGATAATAAAAAATTAGATTTCCGAAGGCAACAGATATTCTACGTATGAACATAAACTATATCTAGTGTCACTTTATTTATTTTATTTTAACACATAGATATTGGTACAAGGAGGCACCAAATACATATGCGCCACACAAATCTCATTCGATAGGTGTGATGGCTGTGATACTGCCCGGGTACCCAGACCGAAGCAGGTGGTTATCTTAGGGGGCCACTCCCCGAGCCTTCGACCTAAAGGTCTGACCCACAAGGCAGTGGAGCATCGTAAGGAGATGCAGTCCCATGGAAGCCGGTGACCAACGGTTGGTTCATACATCGTTTGTTCCCTCAGGATACTGGAGACCATGTTCATCATTGGTTTGGGATCCGGTTAAAGCCCCGGACATTTGCTTTTCGTCCTCTCATTTTCATAAACAACACCCGTGTTACGAGAAGTCAGTGAGTAGGACTTCCCTGGCATAGGCTATATACGCGTGGCCATGTGAGAGCATTTCGAGAGGGAGACCGGACTCTCCCCACTCTCGGCTATATCAGGGCATTTGATTAATTTTAATCCCTACAGTATATCCAATTTCTTAATTTATTTACCAAGGAAGTATTGTTTTACCACAATAAGAATGTAATTCTTCAACCATTAAAGCATGTAACAACGACTCAGAAAAATGACAAACAAGTAACAAAGTAATCAAAAGATGAAGACCGATAGGGTAATTATATTATAAAAGGCTTTAGGTGGTTACAGGCAGTCGACAGTAAACTCTGGACTTAGTTCTCGTGCTACATGACACTTGCCAGCAAGCGATTCGATGAGGTAAGAGTTAAGCCTGATAATTAGGCACTAATTCTATTGAAATTAATGACCTATAGTTGCAACATCCCTTAATCGTTCTTTTTTTCAATGACTTTTAAACATGTTAATCTTTGTATCGAAAATTTAGTCATTAAACCAGACCACAACAAAAACCTTTACATCGTTTGTACATGTGATATGATCACTAAGAAAACGACATTCAAACTAGGTACATACGATGTAAAACAAAAGCGATATATCCGTATTGACTAATCAAGATGTACATACCAAAATGTAAAATGAACGTAGTTTCTCCATGATCTACATCAAAGCACCACTAAGTAAAAAACAATATTATGAATGTCATCCATTGTTTTAATATTTACGACATCATGGTCGGCATATACATATCAAAATTGCGTCACATGTAAGCTTAACATAAGAATGATACATAGTGTGAATTATTCACCGGACAAAGGTAGACGCCTAAATGGATAATGTATATTAGTCACTATATAGAAGCCCCCGAATGCCGTGATACGGCCAAGGGTAGGGAGAGTTAGTTCTCCTTCTCGAAATGCTCTCACATGGCCACGCGTACACAACCACTGTCAAGGAAGTACTATTCACTGCCTTCTCATGGAAAGTGTGTTGCTTACGAAAGTGAGAGGACAAAAAGCGAATAGTCGATACTTTAACCGGGTTGGTGGATCTAGAGAATCTACCTAAGAGAGTTAGAAAACGCTGATTCCAAACCAATGCTGCATATGGGATCCAGGATCCTAAGGAAACAAAAGGCGTATAAAACTACTGTTAGTCACCGGTTACCATGGGACTACATCTCCTAATGTTGCTTTCCCGCCTTGTGGATTAGACCTCTAGGCCAATGACTCAAGGAGTGGCCCCTTATGAAAACCAGCTATTTCTGTTTAAGCATCCATGCAGTATTCCAGTCCTCACACAAATTGAATGACTTATATGGCGCATATCTATTTGATGCCTTCTTGCACTAATGTTTATGTGCTTAAACAGATGATAAATACATAAAAAGTACAGAATACTTTTAGATTTTATTGTTCAGTTTTAATATATCAGAATATTTATCTTTCGATTCAGTTGAATTAAGAGTAAGCCTTGAGAATCGAGGCGTAGAACATATCACACATGTGTAAAACTTATCCTGAAGTGTATTTAACAAAAGCATACATTATTAATTATTTATTTCAACATATAAATATTGGTACAAGAGGGCACCAAATATATATGCGCCACACAAAACAACGAGAATGGGAGGAGAGAAGAAAGAAGGAGCGTAAAAGAAAAAAAGAAGAACAATAACGACCAAATTAGTGCAAGGTAGTGTAATAATAATAATAATAATAATAATAATAATAATAATAATAATAATAATAATAATAATAATAATTGGGGAAACGGAAAGGTACAACTAGAAGAATTCTTTCAGTTAAGGAAGATACAACCATGTTTCATGATGAAAGTAAAAGAAGGTTACAGCAGAATCGCCATTGGCTTCTATTCAGAGCCATAGCTGATAGCATCTCTAGCCACTGTGTTACATCATCCCTCGGACCCCAACCAGGGAGTCGAGAAGGATCAACAAAAGCCAGCCCTTTGAAACTCTTTTTCATACCACGACACCATGTCATGGACTGACCACCTCTCCGCTTTTTCCAATCAGTCCCAGCGTCGACAAATAATGTACGACGTGGAATTCTCTGGGACGACATTCGTAGAACATGTCCAAGCCACCGGAGTCGATGTTCCAAGATGGTGACACCAATTGGATTATCGTCTCTGCGCCCGAACACACGATGCCGAACCTCTGCATTACTGACATGGTGTTGCCACTGGATATCAGCAATCCTTCGGAGACAACGATGATCAAATACAGAGAGTCGTCTAACATCCTCAACTCGGAGAGGCCAGGTTTCACAAGCATAGAGCAAAACTGCTCTCACCAACGCGTTGTACATCCGATCTTTTACAGCCAAAGTGACATCACGAAGGCGCGAAAGATGGCCTAGATTGACATAAACCGCTCTGGCTTTCACCATACGTGAATCGATCTCATCACTCACGCCACCTCCAGCACTTGTGCAGCTACCTAGATACACGAACTTCTCGACTACTTCTACCTGCTCACCATCCAGTATGAGTACAGGATTAGAATCCTGCCAGTCTTGTAGAAGTACTGTGCACTTGGAAGGTGCAAAGCACATACCATACCTACGGACACTGAGTGTCAATTGATTAAGTGCGGATTGCATGCCTTGGGCATTATCGCACAGTAAGACAATATCATCTGCATACTCAAGGTCGAAAAGTCTCTCTAGGCAACAGATCCACACCGCTATTACTTACATCCATCAGAGCTGTTCCCAGAATGTCATTCATGGTAAAGTTAAAGACGATTGGTGTGATTAAACAACCCATGTCTAACCCCACTTCGTGAATGGAACAATGGAGAAAGGTGGTTGTATACCCTCACTCTGCCTGAGGTGTTTGTATATAGGGCCTTTAGGGTGTTAATAAACTTCTTAGGCACACCCTTCTTCAACAGACAATCCCAGAGGACAGTCTTGTCCAACGAATCGAAGGCAGCCCTGATGTCAAGAAACACTACGATTGTTGCCTTTGATAAATATGACGGTGTTCTAACATTTGGCGGAGGGTGAACATATGATCAACACATCCTCGACCAGAATGAAAACCAGCCTGCTCCTCGTTTGGTTGATCAGTCGTCACCGGCCATGGGGGGCAGGACAGTCTGAACGATGTTGCCGGAGCAGCAGGCCAGTTGAACTGCCCTTCAAAAAATTCTGCCCACCGTCCAAGACGTCGATGGATGTTGGTGATTGGCATCCCATCATCCTCGCAGATTGTTTCACTCACACCAGACTTCTTGCTGCCAGTGGCTCGGATGAGTTGGAAGAGCTTCTGGTAATTACCAGATGCAGCTGCCGCCGATCAATCTGAGTCCAGGCTTGGGATGCAGAGGAAGGACGCCAGGTGGCACATCGGCGATGACTGTGTCGAAAGTTAGTGCTAGCCAGAAACAGGTTGTGGTCTGTGCATAGTTGCAGTAGACGGTCCCCGTTATGTCCTGCGACCAACGAGTCCCCATCGGTCACCTAAACGACTCTCTTCTGTGCCTAGACGCCCGACCTGAGCATTCAAGTCTCCGGCTAGTACTACGATATCTATCGAACATACTTTCTGGAGAACAGTTAACTGGTGGTAGAATTCCCCTTTCATTTCATCCGGGCTGCAATCTGTCGGGGCATAGGCAGAGATGACGAAAGGACATCGTTTCTCACACCGATTTCTTCTCACTTTGATGGAGCTCTCTAGTCTAACAGCACATAACCGACTGTTAATGGGGATCCGATCGATTAGTGCTGCCCACAAATGCCCTGGCATGGCCAAGAGTGGGATTGGCCCTCCCGCTCCCTCGAGATGCTCTCACATGGCCACGCGTATACAGCCTCTGCCAGAGAAGTTCTACTCATTGCCTTCTCGTGGCGGGGGTGTTGTTTACGAAAATGAGAGGACGAAAAGCGAATGTCCGGGGCTTAAACCATATTCCAAATTAATGGTGCACATGGGCTCCAGTATCCTGAGGGAACAAATGACGTATGAACCAACTGTCGGCCACCGGCTTCCATGGGACTACATCTACTCACGATGCTCCATTGCCTTGTGGGTCAGACCTTTAGGTCTAGGGCTCGGGGTGTGGCCCCCTAAGAAAACCACCTGCTTCGGTCTGGGTACCCGGGCAGTATCATAGCCCACACACTAATAAAACGAAAATGACGATATTTACTGAAAACAAAAGCATACAACAGAGACGTTAATCACTAAGGTGTAATGTATATTTATGTACATGGAGTATTGAAAAAAACTTGTCAGCAACTTTAAAAAATATTTCATACCCAATAAATTCAGTCATACATTAAAACGAATCAATGTTCGGAACAAGAAAAGATAAGTAGATAGTAAAATACTATGACTCCTAAATCTAAGCATTGTTTCCTCATCATAAGCACACCATAGAATGTTAGTAGATACAGGTCATTTCTGCATTTGAGAGGAACAAAACAGATCGAAGAAGGCATACATGGAATTGAGATGTCAAAAAACTAATGAGAGAATTATTAACAACGGATGGCAGTTCCTATAGCCATAAACATGCCAAATGTACCTCCACCTTGAAACATGCCTTTGCCAACCGTTTGAATTAATTCACGTCCACGTAAACCGTATCTACAAAAAATATGGACAAAAATCTTCAGTATACATCGTTAACATAAATTTTTCATAGGTTTCGACAATGAAATCATGTCAGTTTGTTGCATATTATCCCCAACAGTCATAGCCACAGTTATTATTATTGTTATTATTATTATTACTATCTAAGCACATGAACATTGGTACAATGAGGCACCGAATACATATGCACCACAAAAAACCGTTCGATTTGTGTGAGAGCTGGAATACTGCACGGGTGCCCAAACCGAAGCAGATGGTTTTCTTAGGGAGCCACAATCCGAGCCTTTGACCTAAAGGTCTAATCCACAAGACAGTGGAGCAACGTTAGGAGGTGCAGTCTCATAGCAGTCGGTGACCAACAATAGGTTCATACAAAATTTCCCTCAAGATCCTGGAGCCCATGCGCACCATTAGTTTGGAATCAGGGTTTTCTAACTCTTTAGGTAGATCCTTCGTATCAACGAACCTGGTTAAAGCACCGGACATTCGCTTTTGATCCTTTCAATCTCGTAAACAACCCCCTGGCTATGAGAAGGCAGCGGATAGGACTTCTCTGGCAGTAGTTATGTCAGATCCATGTCAGAACATTTTGAGAGAGAGAGAGAACTCTCTCCGCTCTCGGCCGTCCAAGGCACTTGGACCTGGTAAGTGCATTAGTAAGTTTTTAAATATGACGTTAGCCCGAACGGAACTAACTAGCAAGATAAGTAGCATAAGAAAGAATACAGCATTCAAACCAAAAGATACGATTATGAATAGGTGTAGGTAGGTATGCCAATTAACTTTCACCCAAGGAGGTGAGAAGCGAATCTTACGACTTTTCCTTGCCAAGGCATGAGGTGATAAAAATTATATGGTGTTATTCTGGGAAACTGGTGTTTTAATAAGTTTACTCTAGTTTAATTTCCTAGAAAACTAAAGAAAATTTGTTATTCCATGAAAATTTCACTGATAAACATCAGTAACAGTAGAGAATTTGGTCTTGAAAAACCTTACCTTAAACAATTGAATCCGCCGAATATAGCACCAGTTGCTACACCAACACAGAACCCCATTAAAAATCCAAACTTTACTTTGGCTAAACATGATGGTTGGGAAACGCCCCGATATGTATTTGGAGCAATCGGCATCGCTACGAGTATATGATCTGTGAGAAAAATTTGTACTAAGTATTATTGCTTGAAAAGTCAGTAATAAAGTATGACGAGAAAACCTCAACAAAACGTTCAAACTTTTTTCCGAAGGTTTACTGAATTCGAGAAGACCGTGGACAAGCACAGACTTAAAATTAATATAACCCCTAACCCCATGGGGTTAATTATGCATTGTCTTAATCTATCTTTATCATGACACATCGAACAACAGGGACAAATTAGATTAGGATTTATAAATTTAGAGTCCATCCATGGGGGTCTGAAATTGTTCTGAAGTTAAGATTCAATCATAAGTTCTATCACTAATTATACTACTGATGGAATCCTTAGTTTGGTGGATATTTTTCCAGGACCAGAAAGCGTAAGAGACTGTTTTTACATGAATCAAGGGATGATCATGCATCCAAACTTACCAAACTACAGCTTATTGGAGCAAGAGCCAACCCGATATGAGAACAATGTGGACCAATGACCCTCAACAGTCAAAATTCCCAGTCTCTCAGTATCCAATAACTTTCGGAAGAGTAAGTGTAAATCGTGTAATTTCTATTGCTCCTTAATGATTGTTATAATTGAATTCCAGATCTTTTCAAGTGTCTTTATGGGGACCTCAGTAGTTCAGTTTGATTCAGCAGTAATTTGTGAATTTGTGTATCTTGAAATCTGAGTGTTTATTTCAGGGCAGTAAGATTTCTGGAACCAGCTATGAGGTTGATTGATCCCATTGTGAAAAATCCTAAAAGAAAGGATTAGACTGAGGAGGAGCTAAGGGAAGACGATGATCAGGTGAAATAAACAGATTGATCGATTAATTAATTAATGTCGCAAAAAATACCAATGGACTGAAGAGTAAGAATAATAGGTGGGGAAAATTTATAAGAAGAGACGTGTATTCGATCCATGATATTTGTCTCTTTTGAATAGAGAGGACACATTAATGTTGCGGGGTTCAAAGCTGTGCCATAAGTACGTTTTAAAGTGTCAGGAATAGTCCGTGTGTGATGTTACTTACTTGTCTTCAGATAAAATGAAGCGTTACATTCGCCTTGTTGCAACCCTATGTAGTTGGAGCTGGCGTCTAAGCTATCTTTGGTTATATCAATATATTTAATGTGAGTAAAGACCAGTTATACAGAATAAACACGCATGCAAGGCTGAGCCATGCCACCCGATGGATTAAGATAATTCTTCCCACCTTTTCTATTGTTAACCACTTCTTCGTGTCAATTGTTGGATACAACTGTTTTCAGTAATTATATACTTGGCTTCAAAGGTCGTATGGTTACGATCTGATGCCACTACAGCCATGTATGGAAGTCAGTGAACCACTCTTGTCTAGGAGGTCGATGGTGGAGATCACAAGCAGGAGTGGTTTCGTTAAATTCCTGATTCCGAGGTCAGGCTAACTTATTTTGTTTACTATTTGGTATAGAACAACCGGAGATAAGCGAAGTTCGGTTGGTAAACCACATCATCGCAATCTTCGTTACAAGGGTTGAGTTCAGTAGTTGCTTTTGTAGACGTATTTTCTCGTTTAATCACTAATCAGCCCCTTCAGTTCCGTCAGCAGTACTGGAAAAGTGCATCTGGTCAGTAACAAGCTAGCTTTCCCTCTAATCCCTCTGGAAATTTCAAGGAGAATAGATTGTTACCATACTTCTTTCTGTCACCGTTATTGTGGTTATTGGCATAAAAGGTATATGTCAGTACACTGGCACTCTCTGTGCATTGCCTCAGGATCATGGAGCAGATTTTGCAATATCCAACGAAATTCCTGACCGAAACGTTTCCGTTTTTTTAACTTACCTGGGATTTAGATTAACCTTTTCCAAACCATCACCTAATACTAGAACAGAAGTATATAACTAGCCAGTAAGCTCCCAGTTTGTTTGAGTGACGAAATAAGTAATAAAGATTCAGCCTGTTAAAATCCCCGCCTGGCTGTTTGAGAGCACAGGCCTCCTTTTCTTATAGGCTTCCATGTTGACTTGGATCTGAAGCAGCCAAAAGTAAGTGATTAGGAACCAACTATTAGCCAAAGTAAGATCTTTGGTGCTAGACGTTTGCAAAGTAGTTCCTTATTTCATGCTAGAATCATATTTCTTATATTCCTTGACTGAATGATGATATGTTTTTGTGCATGGCAGCTTCTCGTGTTGTACTGCATTCAAATCATTAAACGCTCTTTCTGGTCTAGTTGTACATCGAGAGTCAGTGTACCTAGTATGAACATACCTATGTAGGTATTTCGGATTATTTTGTGTTTAAGCTGATTGCCTAGTCTGGAAATGCCTCATATCAAATCGCAATATGTCACTTCATCTTTATATCAGTCCTGAAACATTTAGGAGGATTTGTAGAATTATGATCTAGTTTGATATTAGTACTACTTTAATAACAAGTCTAGTCCCAAAATGTTTGATTTGTCATAATGTGACTACCTAACCCCTAAGATCTTACGTGGAATTCACATCATAGTCTGCACTTACACATCCTATCGTGACAAATAACAATATGAAACTTAGTACTTCTGATGAATACATTTTGGCTGGGGATAAGATAATAT